TATATGTAAACAAATAATATATAATAATTATATAATAATATATTAACTTTTTTATTATGTAAATGCAGCATCAAGACACTGATCTTGGCTGGGGCCCAAGGTGCTGTCGAATAACATACCTTTCTGCATGCCTACCAGCCTGCTTATGGGGAGACTGGATAAGGAAATAGGATTAATAGGGAAGACTCTTCTGTTCCTGGCACATGGGAGGGTCACCTGCCAGGATCACTGGGACAAAATTTACTGAATTATTTTCCCACCTTTGCCTTGGGCATTAATGACATGTCAATCTCTGTTTGCTGTCTCTGACAATTTAATTTTCTGAGTGTCAGGACAGTCCTAACTAAAGCTTTTGGGCTGGACAAAGAGCATTTGTGGCTGAAATGTAACAATTTGTAGTTTGCAGTACAGGAAAGCCATTCCCTCCAGACTTTTTCTCTCTTCTAAGGGCTGTTTTGTCTGTTTTTTGATGAATAGTCTTGAGTTGTGACTGATGAAAGGTGATACATGAAATATGCTGTGACAGAGGACACTTCCCCCCAGCCCTGTGCCGCGTGGTTTGCCAGGCCACAGGTGTAATGCCTAAAATATGCACGAAGAGAAATGCAGAGTCTGAATGCGGCAGTGTATTCAGTGGGGAAATTGCAGTCACACCATCCAGCTTGCCAGTCAAATGCATGAAGCGTGGCAGGCATATTCTGAAGTATTTTCATGTGTTCAAGGAACACTTAATCTCAAGTCCCCTTATTGCTATTACCCTTATTTATCTGCAGTGCAGTAGCACCTGTGCAGTGCTGTAAAATTTTCTTCAGGGAATGTCATGCTCCATTGAATCCTCCAAATCTTAAATTTGATTTCTCATGGTTATTACATGCTGCAGGGGCAAATTTTCTTCACCTCACATAGCTTGGCAAATGGGCTGTACACAGGGGTGTTGTACTTGGACATGTTTTCTCTGCCAAACAGTACGATGGCAGCAATATGTGCTGCATGCCTGTGGCCACAGCATTGGTGCTGTGCTACCTTCCTCTCCATGGCGGTAGATGTACAGCAAGACCACTCCCAAAGTGCAGGTCTGAATGCTTTGGGGACTGATCTTGGCTGCGGTGGGACTCAAGTCCCACTGAATTTGTTTGTAGTGCTGACTCAGGTCCCAGTGCTTTACCCCCTTCCCAGCATGCCGAGAAGGTAAGTGTCAAACTGTGTCCAAAGCGGCAGCGGGCACCCCCAGCCCGTGCCGGTGCGGCGTGTTACCTTTGCTCTTCCAGTTGCGGTCGGTGGCGTACCCCAGGTGCCCGGCGTATTTCCTGTTGAACTCCGCCATCAGCGATTTGTACGGGTTCCTTATCAAAAGAATCGCAGAGTCGAACATTTCAATCTCCGTCTTGCCACTTTCATGTGTTTTCACACAGATGGTCCTTCTACTTCTCCAGTGGTCTTTTTCTCCTTTAAAACCTGTTTTACAAGACAGGATGGTTGGCTTTTTCACTTGATTATAAGTCTGTGCCTTTTCACGCTTTAAATCATTCCCTACAGTGGTGTAAAACTGTTGTGAAAGTACCAGTCAATTAAACGCATCCCTGGGATCAGGGCTGAATTTTATTCCTGGCCTGCTACTGACCTGCAAGGCTTATTGACTTTATTTGGTTGGGAACCATCTTCTTGTGTGCTTCTCCATGCCTGCCATAAGGAGAACCCTGTCCCTGGCTGGAGCCCCAGCCACTGAGCGGGGCATGCGCTGGGAGCCAGGCTTTCCTCCGCTGGGGAGGACTTCGTTGGCATCTTGCGGCAAAGGGGCTGTTTTTCACCGGGCCAATGCTTGGCGCTTGCTAAATATCGTGCCCCCTCAGGAGACTGTCCTCCCAGAATAATTAGTAACATTTAAAAATTCAACCCTTGTGTTTCATGTGCTACTGAAGGGTCTTACCCTCAGGGTTTAGTCAACTTTTTTTAGTCAACTGGTCCTTTGGACCAGTCTTTTAGACCGGAGGTGCACACGTGCATGTGCACAGCAGCACCAATGCAGGTGACATGCAAATTTTGCAAATCGAGAGCCTGGCTGTTGTCTGTGAAAGTAGCTGCCTGTCAGGCTCAGTGTGCTGCTGGAGCAGTCTCTGCTGCTGTCTGCATCACGTGAGACCGCTCGTTCCAGGCACGTGTTTAAATTTTACCAAATGTGCTGACAGTGCCAGCCTTTGGTGGCTCCAAGCAGAAGGATGCCAGGACAAATAAGTAAAGCTTCGTGCCTCGGAAGGGCTTTGTGTGTCCCATCCCTCTGGATATGGTACCTTTGTTGTAGAGGGCTCCATCGAAGTAGTAGCTTCCTGTGTAGTACCCTGTGGCATGCTCTATCAAATGGCGAGCCCACGTATTCCCAGCCCCAGGAAAGCTCGACAAAGCAACAAACACTTTGGATTTGGTGGTTAAGAATTTCCTGTCCGTGCAGCGGGTGTCTGCAAGTACAGAAGATATTTCATTGTTAGCATTGTGGCTTTTTAATAATTCCACTGACAGCTCTTGATTACAGGGTTATTGCTTCTTTCTTTTCTCTCTTATGAATATAAGATATCAATTTGAGTCCAGTTGTGAGTCAGCTACTTCCCAAAATTAATTCAGCCATAAGAGACCAAAGAGATTATCCTCACAAGAGGTTTCTTCTGGTTTTGTGTTAGGCAACGCTTTTTTGATAGAGCTGCGGCAAACCATTGTACTTGCCAGCATGTTGTGATAAAAGCCCCTTGATGCCTGTTTGTTAATGGCTATTTGCCTGGCAGGTTGGCTCTTCAATGAAACCTTAAATGTGGCATTACATCTGGAAATTGCGAGTTTTATAATGCAGAAGAAACTCCTTCTACTGAAAGGAGCTGGCATTCAGTTAAACCTCTAGGCTGTCATTCCCCTCCAAAGGGCGCAAGGCAGTGATGAGCTCACACTGCGTTAATTTCCCATGGGGGCTAGACACCTGGTTTCCACATATGCTTTCGTAAATCCTAACCTTATTTCTTAGTGTGCCAATAAAAGCAAGGATAGGATGAGAACCAATCTTGACCCTCTGTGATGATTCAAAAAGAAGCAGGAAATAAATTAGAAATTACTGTCTGCATTCTTCAAAGCAGCCTCTAGATGAAGCCATGGCTAGAAAGTCCCAGCACAGTCCAGAGGAGGCTGTCTTCTGGCACTACTGATCTACGCAGACATGGGAAGTACTAGCAATCTCATGAAAGCAACTGTGCTTGCATGATCTTTTCATGTGCTGATGTCTGCAGTCTACCTCTGAACTGGGAGATGGCGGGAAGAAAAGGGTGTCGGAGAAAAAAAGCCCAGCACCAATCCCAAAAAACACTTAATTTGTTTGATTTTAAGCTTGTGAGAAGTTTCATTGAATTCAGTGCAAATCACTGCATGGATAAAGTTGCCAGTACCACCTAAATGGTTTACTGGATTGGAGCTTTACTTTCTGCTTTATTTTCCGGCTTTGAAACATGTATGCAGATGAGTATTTTAGAGCAAGATGGGTAGAGCAAAATTAGCACTGCAGAGCTGCTTCGGTGGCTGTGTAATGTGGGAGCCAGGTGTGCATTTAACAAGCAGGACTGGAACCAGAGTATGGGGTCCTCGTCCCCTGATGCCTGGGGTGCTGCATGGCTCAGGGTGTGCCTTCCCAGGCTCTGCCTTGTTCTTGCCATCTGCAAAATAATTATATTTTTCCAGGGCGGGGGGAGGCTGTGCTGCTTAATGAGAGAATGTAAAGATGCACATTTACGAGTGCAATTGCAAGGAGGGGATTTAGATAAGGGCTGTTTCCTAAATTCCTGCCTGTATTGTGATACCAACCATTGTGGCTAAGACTGCTGTAAACTAGATTACTTTTACCCACTGCAGAAAGGGCGCAGGGGCTATTTCCAGCAGTGGTGGGTCTGGCCCTGGCACAACGAGGCTGAAGCTTGTACCTTGCACCGGTGTTTGGTAGACCAGGCAGTATTTTCCCTTGGCGGCACTGCTGGCGTTGTGCATCCTGCTGCAGAGCAGCCCGTCTGCGCTGTCATGCAGTGAGAAGCGCCTGGTGGGGTAGCCGCAGTAGCACTCCCGCCCTTGGATGACTGCCAAGGGAAACTCCTACGAAAGAGAGAAAATAGATCAGTGTGTAAATGCCACGGCATCAACAGCCTGCGGGGAATGCTGCTGCTATACAAAGAAAAATAAATCTTCACAAGGCCACTGTCAAGATCAAAGCAGTGTTTGATATATCATTGTAAAGCTTATGCTTCTTATACTACTACTGTCTTTCATATGGCAATTTCTTAAAAATTGGTTTCCAGACACAAGCCTTGTAAAGCTTGAAAATTCACAATATTCTGGGTTTTTTCATTATTCATAAAAATAATTCTATAATATTCCTGCAGCACCTAGTACGTAATTCCACCTGCAAAACATCAGTGTGGGAAAAGTTGTTCTTATTTACCCCAAAATGAGCATTTTGAATTGATCATCTTTTAAACTTCTATTTGTATTCCCCCAAACTGAGGAGTCAGCTGTTAAACGGTTTGCCTTATTCAGTTGATTTTAGAGTTTGTGTGGAGGAAACTTGCCCTTAAACTTAAAGAATTTAAGCGAAGAAGGAAATTTAGACCCACTAACTGCTGCAATCAAGTTTAAAAATAGAACAAAAAAAAAATCCAAGCCATAAAAAAAAGTATGCATCTTAGTCTGGCTTCTTCACAGTTTGCAAAAAATGAATGTGCGTGGAGGGGCTGATACAGAGTTTGAGAGCTACCGTGTATATTTTTGGAAAAACTATTTAGAAATATGATACCAAGTAATTTTTGGTACATCTATTCAGAGGGACTGTGCTGATGGCGAACATGGGGCTGCACCAGAAAAGGCAGAGGGGGACCTGGGGTGCCTGAGCACAGCTGTAGCCGTACCTGGTGCTGGGCGCGAGCTAAGGGCACGCACGGCTCTGCCTGCTGGTGCACGCAGGGTTAGCTCAGCTGGCGCCTGGGCTCTGTCTTCAGGCATGGACACTTCTTGTTTTATGTTACCTTGCTTCTAGATAGGGAAACCTCATACGAAATCCAGACTGATGGCTGCAAATGACAGGTATCTCAGCAGAGTGTAAAATGTGCAACTACAAGAAAGTTATAGGTAGTGTTCACTGCAAGGAAACAATTCCCAAGGAAAATTTCTGGCTGTAAGAAATTTCTTTTCAATGCATTTGATGAAAAGTAATTCAGGTTTTGGTGTACCAGTCTTCCCAAAACAGGCAACAGGCTGCAAAGCAGCATTGCTGTGTGGTGGCAGAGCACTGAGGCTGGGCTGCTGGGCTAATATTGATGAGAATTAAGAGAAGTTTGAGGGAAACGTGTGCTAATTATTTGCTGAAGAAATTAGCAGTTGCTTATGTGCTCAGTAGAAAAAGCACACTTACTACTTTGCTGAAACTGGCCCTAAAATTCAGTCTTTCTCCTATTTACCAGGAGGACTGGGGTTGTTTTTCCCTGGGTTTCCGAAGTCCCCTGGATGGCTTGCTCGGCGGCAGGGGGGTGCATTGGCGTGCAGGGGTGGGCTTGGTGCAGCCACAGAATGGCTGAAGGAAGCTCAGGGGTTATTCGAGTGCAGAGCATTCAATTCCACCTATTCCATATCAAAACTTTTTGCCTTTTAAAAGTCTTTTGGAGTCTGGGAGTGCACGACAGGACTGCTGAGCAGCTTATCTCTCACTCTTCCCAACGTGTTCATCCTTTGATAAGGAGTCAAATACAATGCATGTGCCATCTGTGCCCAAACAGCCATTTGCTTAGCGAATGAGATATGACATTGTCAAAAACTATTTACAGATTTGATCCAAGGGCAGAATAGTTCTGTTTCTGCCTGCAAACAGAATTTTTTCCTTTACAATGAAGCAGTGTTTCTCAGTTTGAGAAATTAATAAGTGTCCCGGCCATCAAACACAGCCTAGAATAAAAATGTACCTTTACCTCGTGCCAAGTGGCACCTGCAAGCGATTGACTTTTCTGGAAGGCTGGAGGTTTTGTGAAGAGACCTAAGCAAATGCTTCTCCATACTTCTGCATCTGCAGAAGGACTGGTCACTATGGTACTGTTCTGCAGCCACTCCGCATGCGGTTCAAGGCAACGGAGGTGCGGGGTGCCCGGCCCTTCAGGAAGCAGGGGCAGTTGGGCTACCTGCCTGTGCAGCCTTCCTGCTGCTCGAGCAGCAAGTGGTTGGAGGATGGAGAGCTCTGGCTGGGACTTAGGAAAAAAAG